CATATACTTTTTGCATTGAGAAGAACACCGGTTAAACTGGAATTCGCTCCAGTAACTTAATCGATATAAAAATTTGTGTTAATTACGTATTGAAATTGTTGCACGAACTTATCACCTTAATTGTATATGAGCATCCGGACATAAACTATGCTATAAATCTCGTTTAATCACACCTGCGGATATGTTGTGGATTTGGTTAAACTGTTTTAATTCATGTTCAATCGTAATTCTAATAATACAACTACGAGGCTTTTAACATTATATATCAGGGTAGTAAACTATCACACCACTATATTGATAAGATTATTAAGCGACACAAGTGCTTGTGATTACGCATTTATTGTTTGAAATCGAATTTTTTTGTTATCATTTGTAAAATGAAAGTATTAAATTAAAAATGATTTTAAATATCAAAACAACAATAAATTACTGAAGAAAAGGGAAATAAGCAACAAATTATAGGTTATGTTTATGATTATTTTGTTCATGACTTCTTATTGTAAAACCATTGAGTCTTCATTAGATAAAAAATAAAAACTGATTTTGATTTTACATAATTTATATAAAAGAAACTTTTAATCAAGGTAGAACTAAAATAGACATAACCTAAAATATTTTGCTTCTTTGATACGTTTCTTCAAAGCGTCATATTTAGTAACCAAATTGGTTTTAAATTGATACTTTTTTTACAGTGATGTTATAGATCTTTTAGTCGAATTCTTTCCAATTTTTTAAATACTTTATTAACCACATTCTCAATGTCTTTTATGCTTGACATATTTTTTATTTATTAAATGTTTTATGTTGTAATTTCTTCAGTTTTTTTTGTTTTTGATCGACATTTTAATCTTTCTTTTAAAGATCGTTAACAATTGCCCGATAAAAATATTGCATATATACTGTAAATTAGGTTTAACGGTAAATCGTGTCTTCGTGTGTTAATTAAAATTTCATTTTGCACGTAAAATGCACAGTTCTTCAGTATGATTTATAAGTATAAAGTCAAAGAGAAGCACGCACAGAAAGTATATATATATATATATATATATATATATGTGTGTGTGTATATATATCCCAAGTTCTTAAAATTTTTTGAAACAAGGATTAACGTCATATTTACAAAACGTAAATCGCAAATGTTCTTCTACATACTGACTTATCACAAGAATTTTTGTGATGTTCATCTCAGCTAGTTATTATCTATGTCTTCAGTAACTTTATCAACGCGAGTGTAATTATTCTTAAGAATATGGTTTGCATTTTTTCTTCTTTTTATACAAAGACGCTGATGCCGCGCGCTCTCTGGTCACTGAGATGGTAGATTGGTCCGGAACATACCTTCATCATCTTCCTCTTTCTTCTCTTTTATTCTTTATTCTTTTTAGTTTTTTATTGTATTTTTTAATTTTTATTTTATTGTACTATATGTGTAGGTTCAATATAGGTTCAAAGTAGATCTAAAAAAGGCTCGATGAAGTTCCAATGTAGATCCAATATAAGGTTAAAGTAGCTTTAATGTAAGATCGAAGTTGGTTGAAAGTAGATGTAATATAGATCCAATATAGAGTCAACGTAGTTATAATATAGGTTTAATATAGAAAGGTTGAATCTAGGGTCAAAGTAATGTAGACTTAATGAAGGTTCAAAGCAGGTTTAAAGCAGGTTCAAAGTAGGTTCAATATAGTATCAAAGTAGGTTTACTGAAGGCTCAAGATAGGTTCAATGTCGGTCAAAAACAGGTCCAATATAGGGTTGAAATAGGTTCAATGTAGATCTAATATAGCGTTAAAGTAGGTCTAATGTAGATTTAATGAAGGTCCAGGTTAGGATAAATCCAGAGTTGAAATAGGCTTAATGTAGGTCCAATATCCATTAATGTAGGTCCAATTAAAAGTCAAAGTAGGTATAATGTAGGCTTAAGGTAGGTTTAAAGTAGGTCTAATATAGGTGCTATTTAGGTTCAATTAATATAACAGCCATAAAACCCTTTATTGAAGGTGCTATTCGCCTGCGTCTCTAAGAGTTTAAAAAAAAATTTTTTTCTCATTATCTTATTTTCTATACGTTGTCTTCTTCTCACTGATGTTCTTTCGTTTAATTTTCCTCTTTCTCACCATCATCATCATGTTCTTTTCGCAACAGCTTTAATAAAGCACTGTCTACATAATATTTAGAAAGAAAAATACGCGAAGCTCGTTTAATACAACGATATGAGTCTAATCTACAACGTCTTTTGCAGTTTACAGTAATTGTTTTTCCGGAAGAGCACATGCTGTTCTCATCTCCAAGGATCATATCCGTAATCTGATACCGTCCGCGAACTCATCCTCTTGAGACTTTAAAATAGAAGACTCTCTCTCTCTCTCTCTCTCTCTCTCTCTCTCTCTCTCTCTCTGTCTCTCTTTTTCTCTATCTTTCTGCGTTCCCTATGTCACGGGTCACTAACTATATCACGTACCACCATTTATTACTGATTTGATTTTACACATAGGGTGTCTTATTGCACGAGTTTGCTAATGCGCACAAGTGCAAACTCGTTAAAATATCATTTTTGTGTTTTTTTTTTTAGCCTTTCTAAAAATTATTTACTCGCATCATTTTCAGACTAATCAGAACAAGCGTGATAAAAATAAATGATGGAAAATTGCGTATGACGATAAATAGGTGAACTCATTTTCTGCAATATTTCATTTTTAACGAGATATATATTAAGTACGTATGGGAAAGAAATTGTTTTTTAGTGTTCTTAAGTTTTAGACGGAAGAAGGAATGTTTAGTGGATGGGATTAGGGTTACAATATATGTATATCAGTATAATAATTTATAATTAATTGGATAGGATTCGTTAAATTCGAATAATATGTTACATTAACAACGGTACTTTCCATTAATTTTCCAGATAAAAAAGTTTCAGTTATAATTATTAGTATGGATGTATGCAAATCAGAGTTTCATGTTTTTTTTTTAATCTTCCATTATAATATGGTTAAAATCTGTTATCAGATTTGCAGAAGTTTATTTAATTCCACAGTTAATTATATTGAATGTATCAAATTGATATAATAATTTGGATCAATTTGACACTTTTAGTATCAATTTGATACTTTCAAGTTAACTGTGTATTCAATTTTATGTCTCGTAAAATTTGAACAATTTTTATATATATATATATAAAAAAAAGTAAATTGATTTATTTTGAATTGACCACCTTGTATAGAGTATATATTTCTTTTTGTACTTACTTGAACACCCTGACAACCTTATAGCGATGTAACGGCTGCAACAGTTAAGAACATTGCTGATGTAGTTTATCATATACCGCGCCCTCCAGCAGCTGCTGAACATGAGTTCATGTGCACAGCTCCAAGGAATCATCGAAGCATTAATAAGCTATTAAAATAGATGATTTCTTTTTTTTACTCATATATATATATATATATATATATATATATATATATTTATATACAGGAAATAATATATAAAGAGGATTTACTGCATATTTATCTCCTCAAGATTCGCGGAAGCTACTTGTCTCAAGTTCGAAAAATATCAGCAACATTTTAAATAATTATTAACACTCAGTTTTGGGTTGACGAATAACTAAAAATAAATTAATTTCCAAAAAGTACCTTCTACGATTTACTGAAAAAAAATTTATTTGATTCAAATAATCGATTTCTTGACTATTATCAAATAAATATTTACTTGAATCAAATAAATATTTACATGAACCAAATAAATATTTATACTTAAATCAAATAAATATTTATTTGAACAAAATCAAGAAAGTTTCTTTATGAACTTTTTATTTAAAACAAAAAATTTACGATACAGTAAATTGAAAAATTATTTTATAATATATAAATATACCTATATGTATGTTTACCTATTGCAAAACCTTTACTTTTACCTCATTTACGAATGAATATTTCAATCAAATGTAAAGTGCTTCAGATATTTCATCCTCTGATGTTAAACCTTCATTTAACTGTATCGAAAACAGGATAGAATGTCATAAATCAAGTTAAAAGCCTCATAATGGAAGGTATATAAAAGCTTATAATGTATATTTGCATCTATAGAAAATCTATACCGTTTTTTTTATATATATAAAAGAAAAAGATATAATCTTGAATCTTATCTCTTCGCTATTTTCTCCCCTGTTCCTTGACCTGATTATACTCTTATCATTTATTCTTTATCTCGCTCTATTATCCTTTATCTTGTCTTTCTGATCCAAATTCTATTCAACTCTTTACTCACCTTTTTTTATCATCAACTTTCTATTGAATTTGCTTTTAATCGATTTTTCATACCATAAACAATTTTTTTTAAAAAATAGTTTAATAATATTAATAAAGAAATTTATTAATTACAAGAATAAAATAATTATAATTTATTCTCTTAAATTGAATCAGTGAAATTCCACTGATGAAATTAGCTAGAATTTAGCAATTGAATTAGTTCATTAACATTTTTACTGAAAATCAGTTGAATTATTATTGATTGAAACAGTTAATTATGTTTTATTGATTTATGATAAGAGTTGATTTTTTGAATCACTTTAGTAAATTTTCCCCTGAAATTTAGTCATATTTAACTGAAAATTAGTAGAATTCTTTACTGATTGAAACAGTCAAATCTGTTTTACCGATTATTGATAATACAGATTTGATTGTTCAAATCAGTAATAATTCGATTATTTTTCAGTGCCAACTTATTTTTCTATATTTTTACTTTCTTTGAAAAAGTTAAGTTTTTTTTATTGATACAACTCCTGAAAGGAAAACAATAAAAAAAGCACATTTTAATGAAAAAGCACAATTTTTAATATATTATGAATTATATTATTAACTAATTTCTCATCTCAAAAGAACAAGATGGAAAATACATTATATTATATATTATATGTATATATATATATATTAGATTTATGAAACATTTATTGAGAATAATAGTATTTCTATTTAAAATTAAATATAAAATAAAAAATTCTCCACTTTACAATTAAAAGAATAGAGAACGCGTAATTAAGGCACATTTTGTTTTACATATTATACGTACATATATATGAAAATAAAAGTACTCTAATTATACAAAACAGCAGAGGGAACTTAAATAATTGCTCCTCTGAATAGTAAACGGCAGCTCTTTCCTAATAAATAAATACAGATTTTATATTGCATTTCTTATCTATTTTAAATTACTTTTGCATGTTTTGAGTATGTATCACGTTACCACTGTATCCCATTATCATACATTTTATACAAAACCAGTCTTAATGCAGAACTAGCCAATATGAAAATAGTTTTATATATATACACACACTTAGTGAAAGCACGTAATTAAAAAATTAATGGAAGTTTGAGAATTGTTTAACATTTTTTTTAACGAGAAAAATTAATATTTTTTTTTGTGTACTTGATGAAAATGAATTTATAATATTAATGTTTTATATAATTATTACCTTTTCTCAATCGAGATAAATTCAAATTTTTTTAATTTACATTTTTTTTAATTAAATTTATAACTGAAAGTTTTTCAAATTAATATTACTTATAGTTTATGTGATTTATAACTACCAATGATTGAAATTAACATTAATTGAATATTGTTTTTACAAATGTTTGCAGTAGCCGAGTGGTTAGAGCTTCTAACTTGTAACATAAAACCAGGGTTCGATTCTTTGTGGAGGTGAGTTTTTTTGACATAAAAAATATTTCAATCTTTAATTTAAATTTACATATAAATATAATATTTACTATTAAATTAATTAATATTAATATTAATTTATCGAATAGATTAGAAAAAATAAAATCGATGATAGTTGGAAGTAATGATAGTTTCAATCAAGAGTAATTGGTGAAATTTTTCAAACTAAAAAAAATTGATTAGCATTTCTCACACTGGCGTTCTCGATATTGGAGTAACAACATTTGATTCCTGATCAGAATTTGGTGGTGTTAAAGCGGTAGGCGATTTAACAGATGACGTTAATATCTTAGAATCATCAACAATACCATTTGTCGTGACAATTATTTCATTTTGATTTATTTTCACTCCATTTGGATTATTGATTGTACACTTTTTATAATGTGTTCTCATATTGCTACTTTGTGAAAATCTTAAACCACAATTTGGACATGAATAGGGTTTGGTGCCAGTGTGATAATTAAGATGTGTTTTAAGATGATGTTTCTTTGTAAATGCCTTAGTGCACAATGTACATTGATATGGTTTAAGGCCCGAATGTAATCTCGTGTGCAATGTCATATTTGATCTATCGGCAAATGCTTTATGACAAACTTGACATTCATATGGTCGTTCACCTGAATGTGTTCTTAAATGTTGTTTTAATAACATTTTTCGCGAGAATGCCTTACCACATTGTTCACATTGATGTGGCTTAACGCCAGTATGAATTCGCACATGCATATTATATGCGACACGTTGATTAAAACTTTTACCACATTCACCGCACGCATATTCCTTTCGATTACGATGAATCTTCATGTGGGAGCTCAAATATCCACGATCGTTGAAATATTTCCCGCATTCTGGACATGTGGCTGCAAATTCTCTTGTACCTTCGTGTACGCTTCGATGATATTTATAATTCCGTAACTGAGAAAACTGCTTACCACAATCGGCACAACGAAACGGCTTTTCACCTGAGTGCGTCCTACTGTGGACCTGTGGAAAAGGTGAGAGTTCCTCGCTTTAATTTCAGGGGAGAGAAAGAATTATATAACTTATAATAAGGAAGTTGTGATAAGTGTTTGAAAAACTAGTTTTTCATGCGCGGCATATATTTTTATGCAGCGGAACCTCTTCGTTTATATCGGATGTTTATTTCATTTTTTATTCTTTCCATATAGGCGTCAGTTCCTTATGGATAATTATTATAATTGTTACTGAATACTTGGATAAATGTAAAAGAGAAATGAGTTTTATTAGGTTCTTTCAAATATACTTTGAGTTAGTTTTAACTCAATCATTATAATCATTGAAATTTATCTTTTCTTATATTATTATAACAACTATATATGGATAGATCATTACAACGCATCCTAAAATTAATTTTTTGTTTCATAGAATTTCATTAGATTGAATTTTGTGTAGCCAAATTTTTATTTCTGCGAATTTTTTTTCTGATAGAATTTCCCTTATTTTTTTCTGTATAGATTTTCTGCACTTTTTTTTGCATCTCATTTGTTATTTGTTCAATTTCTTAATATTTCAGTTAGAAAAAAAATTTTTCGTTTTAGATATTGCAAAATTTTATATTCTTTTCTATATACATCACTTTCTATTAGAACTTATACGGAACTTTCTTATCCGAAATCTCACAGTAGAACGAAAATTCTGTTTTAAAATACATCAAACATTCACTGCAAAAAAAATTTATTTTATTTAATTAATCAGTTGCTTGACACTATTATTAAATAAATATTTAATTGAACCAAATAATTTTTATTCCAAAATGATTTTTATTTGCATTAAATAATGAAAATATCTTGGAAAAATTATTTTCAAAAGAAGTAAATATAATTTTTTATAATAGCCAAATATATTTTTGCAATTATAAAACAGAATTTCTTTTCTACTGGTCCGAGGTTTAGTTGCATTAAAAAAATTTTGATAATACTAAATTCCATTTGATTTTATTTAATAATTTGTTGATTATTAAAAAGTAAAATATATTTTATAGCTATAATAATATTGATTATTGCAATATTTTATTGATTCTATTATTAATTATTATTAAATCTAATCGTTTTGTTATACGATTGCTGATATTTTCTCATTTATATATTTCTTATCATGTTCAATGTGTTCAAAAACAAAGAAACAGACAATCTATCTATATATATATATTTATATATATATAGTTTTGTGTATATGTTTCTATATTCTATACTTATCTTGTATTTCAAAGTCTAGGCTAACAACCGGTCATTCGAATTTTTCAATAATAATCCGTAACATTGTAAGAGGCAACCAGTTATTAAGCTATCGTTTTCATTTCTAAAGCCGCATAAAGATATTCTTTCAAGATTTCTGGCTCTTCATGAAGGGTAATCAGCGCGCAACATTCAAGGGAAACTACTTATTATATTTATTGTAACTTTGAAATCCATATATAAGATAATTTCAATTTATTTCGAAGATTTTAATCTCTTCATAATATATAATATATATAAAAAGTATATGAAGTTAATTTTCTTTGAAAAATTAAATATGTTATAAATGTTGATAACTTGTATATTCAGTATTTCAGAAAAAAAAGCGCAAAAACAAAAGAAAAAGTATAAAAAAAAATTTGTTAGTTAATTTGTAGACCGCACATGCACATTAAGTGGTTGACTCAATTTGATTAGTAAATTATATGTTGTAATAAATTTTTTTTTTTCGTGTTATATTAATATTTTCTTGTGCTCCAGTAAGAACAGAAATATTTTGAAAAAATATGTTTATCTGATATGCTATTAATTAGTTCCCGGTTATTATTTGATTAGCAAATTGGAAGAAAATAATTTTCTTATAATCCGCTTGTTTTTCAATAACGAGCTGATTATTAAATTCTTGTGTAGTAAAAAAAAAAAAAATTTCTAACGGTTATAGTGCCCTAGTTCTATCTTAAAAATTTTAAAAAAATTTTTTTTCTGTATTTCTAAGAAGGTTTATTGTAAGATCAAAGTATGTTTAATGTCGGTTCAAAGTAGTCTTAATGTAGGTTCAAAGTATTTTCAATGTTGGTTCAAAGTAGTCAAAAAGTAGGTTCAATTACGGTTCAAAGTATGATTAATATAGGCTCAAAGCAGGTTGAATATAGGTTCAAAGTAGGCTCAAAGTAGGTTAAATGTAGGTTTAAAGTATATGCTTAATATAAGCTCAAAGTAGGTTTAATGTACGTTCAAAGTAGGTAGAAACTAGGCTTAATTTCGGTTCAAAGTATGCTTAATATAGGCTCAAAGTAGGTTAAATATAGGTTCAAAGTATATGTTTAATATGGGCTTAAAGTAGGTTTAATGTACGTTCAAAGTAGGCAGAAACTAGGCTTAATTTCGGTTCAAAGTATGCTTAATATAGGCTCAAAGTAGGTTAAATATAGGTTCAAATTAGGCTCAAAGTAGGTTAAATGTAGGTTCAAAGTGTATGTTTAATATAGGCTCAAAGTAGGTTTAATGTACGTTCAAAGTAGCCAGAAACTAGGCTCAAACTAGGTTCAATGTTGGTCCAAAGTGTGCTTAATATAAGCTCAAACTAGGTTTAATGTCGGTACAAAGTATATGCTTAATATAGGCTCAAAGTAGGTTTAATGTAGGTTCAAAGTGGACAGAAACTAGGTTTAATGTCGGTCCAAAGTATATGCTTAATATATGCTCAAAGTAGGTTTAATGTAGGTTCAAAGTAGACAGAAACTAGGTTTAATGTTGGTTCAAAGTATGCTTAATATAGGCTCAAAGTCGGTTTAATGTAGGTTCAAAGTAGGCTTAATGTAGACTTAAATCAGATTCAATGTCGGTTTAAAATAGGCTTAATATAGGCTCAAAGCAGGTTCAATGTCGTTTTAAAGTAGGTTTAATGTAGGTTCAAAGTAGGCTTAAAGTATTTTTAATGTTGGTTCAAATTTAGTTCAATGGTAGTCAAAATTTTCTAAAAGGAAAAATTGTACATGTTGAAAAATTTGTGATTAATTTTACAAAATATTTTCGCAACATTCTTTTGATTCTATTTTATAGTATTTGAGACAAAAAAAAGTGAACTAAAATTTATGTTTAATTTTGTGGAACGTTGAATCTTAGGTCGCGGGTTACAAGTTACAAAATAAAATAACAAAAAAAAGAATAGAAATGAACGGAACCATAGCCACATTGGTAATAAACAAGCTCCCTGAATACTCGGAAAGTCACCTTTCTCTAAACTCTGCGAAACGCTGCTACTACTACTTTACTGTCACATTGTTTCCGATTGTGGTGACGGTGAAACGTTTAGAACCCACAGGAGACTTGTCTATCTTTTTTTTTCATAGCTGAAATCCGTCAGACGTTTATCTCGTGGTCAAACGCGTTTATAACTCGCATCATTTCTCAAACTTAGAAACAATTATTATCTATATTTCTTTAAAAAAAAAAAAAAAAAAATTAAAATCGCCACAATTTTATGATTGCGGTGTGAAATTTTTACATAGTCATTTTTTTTATTCTTAGAATATTTTTCAGTGGAAATCGAGATTTAAAAAGTTACGTAAGAGAAAAGAAAGATAGAGAGAGACATAGATAGACAGATATAATCACCTTTAATGATGCTCTCGTCACGAAAGTTTTGCCACATTGATCGCATCGATGATCTTCGCTATTATTGTTTCTTCCACGATGAATATTATCGTTCGTTACTTCATTATTATTATTATTACTATCACTACCAATCGATTCAGTTGCAATTGTCAATTTTTCACTGCATTGACCCTCGGCATCAATTTTTCCATCATTAGATGATTTATTATTTTCTACTATTTTATCATTTGTTTGAATTATTGAATCACAAAGCCTACTGACTGGATGAGATATCTCTGGTTTTTGACAATTATTTAATTGTGAGCAATTTTGTTTGGCAAAATAAGCCTTCTTTGGATTTGGACGAATCACATGATTATTTGAATTTTGAGTTGTTTTTATAATACTCGTATTAGTTGTTGTTGTTGTTTCATTGTTTAAAAATGATCTATTTGATGATAATGGAGGTGTTGTATTTGTTGGATAAAAAGGTTGTGAAGTTCTTGAAATAATTGTAGGAAGTATGACAGGTTGAGCAACTGGTCCTGAAATGGGAGATAAATAAAATTCTTGTCTTCTATCCTGATTTGTCAAGTGTGATTCTTCTTCACTTGTGAATTTTTTTTCAGGTGATGTTGACACTTGTTCAGTATAATGATTGTTGACTGCGACAAATGGTTTTGGGGAGTCAATTGGACTGCAGGAACGTGATTCTGTCGTTTGTGGTTCCGGTAAAAGATGCTGCTGCTGCTGTTGCAACTTCCCATTTTGTTCCTGTAACAAACAAGGTAATATCATACTTTTTTTGCTTTGAAATTTTATATTTTCTTTCTTTCTTTTCTTTAAGCTATTTTTCTTTCTTTTTGGCTTTTATTAGAGTTTTTTCAATTTGAAAAAAAATATTTCGAAAATAATTTAATAAAAACATTTATGCAGAAATAAAATTTGTTTGAAACAACCACATTTTGATTAAATCAACCAAATAAATGTGTTGTTATTATAGTTAACTAAACTTTCGGTTGAATCGACTCAAGTTTATTTGTTTCTGTAATATTTTAGAAAATATGTTAATAGAAGTTTGATTTTTGAATTTTTTTTTCTACTGATTTAAATCATATTTGTAAAATAGAGAAAATTTCGAAATGGAATCGTAAAAGTTGGCTCGTAAAAAAAGACATGGAAAAATTTTGTCAAATTTATTTGTATCTGTGTATAATGCAAATAAGATATAATTAGAGAAATTTTTATATTTCGCGTGATATAATTTTTTAAATTGATGATTATTTTTTTATGATTTTATATAATATACTCTCTAAATTTGAATTAAGGAAAAAATCTATTTTTTCCAGTTATTTTTTAACTTAAAATTAGTTACTTAATAAATAGTTATTTTTTACTAATTGCTGAAGCAAATAGTCAGTCTAGATTTTTAGCTAACATTTGTTAGCATTTGTAGCTAATTTTTCTAATTTTTAGCAGCTCTAGCAAAAAATTTTAGTTCCTGTAGGAAATTTTTTCAGCTAACATTCATTAGCATCTTTAGCTAATTTATTCTTTTTCTTGTGAATGTTAGTTTAAAGGAGCGAAAGTTGTAGTTGTTTTAGTAAATAGTGAATGTTCCAAGTAAATCTTTTTGAATAATTGGAAAAATTATATAAGGGTGGAATGCTACATTTTTGAGCATCTGTAATTGACTTTATATACTCGAAAGTGGTCGCATCTTAATTTAAAGCTTAGTCGTTTTACCATAGAAACATCTCGTTTGGATTGCTCCTTATATTTCTCACAGCTCTTAGAAATTGTAATAGTCGTCGTAAAACATTTGCAAAAGTTCCTGATGTAGTCGCGATGACCTATTAGGCAATCTTCTAACTCCCCATCTTTTTTTTATGACGGAAAACTTTCCTTTTGAAATAGGTCCAATAAATATGTAAAATTACCTTTTAGAAATTGAAAGTATTTCCGAGGAGAAGTAATTTTAAATACAATTTTTTTTTCTAATTCTTCACTTTGTCACATTTTATTAAAAAGATTTCATATAATCTTGATTTTATAATACACTAAGAAAAAAATTTGATTCAAATAATCGGTTACTTATTATCAAATAATTATTATTTGAATCAAAAGTTATTTTTGTTTTAAATACTGAAAACTGTTGATTTGAATTCTACAATTTATTTGGACCAAATAAAAATTATTTGATTCGAATACAATTTATTTATGGACCAAATAAAAGTTATTTGATTCGAATACAATTTATTTGTTAATAGCCAAGTAATCGATTATTTGAATCAAATAAATTTTGTTTTTAGTGTAATTTAATTTGCAGTAAAATTAAATGGTTGCAAAATTTTACAGACAATGTGATCTCTGTTATAGAGATTAAAGACAACAGTTGTCTAATTTCTCTTTAATGATTCGTCAAATTGGGAAAAAAGTGTGAGAATCTAAGAAATCTCCAGCAGAGTAGAAATTATCAGTAGGTTTATATATATATATATATATATATATATATATATATATATACATTGAAAGGGTAGACCAATCCTTGAAGTAAAAGTGCTAATATCATTAATTTAACCTTTCTCGACTGTCAAATCCATCAGCGGAATATGAGAGCTTTTGCATTCGTTGAATTTATTACACAATTGCTCCTCATGCTATAGGGATAGTATCAAATGATTGAGCGCCGCACGAAACAACGGAGCTATTTTTTTCACTTTCTAATGAAAAGATATCTTGACGTCTTTGTGTGTCTGTGCTAGAGAGCTCGTTTATTCGCTTGTCATATTGGGCAAAATCTTCCAAGTTCAGATTGTCTTGAGTATATTATTATATATATATATATATATACTAGGGGGCTATGCCCCCTGCGCGCTTCGCGCGCCAACCCCCATTCCCCCTCCTCTCTTCCGCTCCCCTACCCTAAATTTAAAGGTTAAGATCGTTTCAAGACTCTGAATATAGCCTCAAGTCCCCCCCCCCTTCTCTTCTACCCCCCTTCTCTTGACTTGCGGCTATATTCAGAGTCTTGGAACAGCGGCGGCGGCGGCGGCGGCGTTGGCGGCGATATCTTTTTGTAATATAGGTAGATATATAGCGGTTGGTATAATATTAAAGAAACAGCAATAATGCGGTACTTCGTTTTGTTGCGGTATAAAAAGAGAGTACGGGTTTTATGAACGTGCACGCGGCACGGCCTCCTGTATAGCCTTGGTTTATCGCGAATCATCCGAACCTGAACTACTGCTCCTCAGGGTCGCGAGCGCGCACGCTAACAGTTAACTCACCACCCTCGACCAAAGCTTCCTCTCTTCAACATTCAACTTTTTTTTTTTTTTTCCTCTGCCCTCTAACCTGTTACACCTGTTTTATGGCATATAATTCACCTGTGTCGAACTTTAATGCGAATTTAAACAATTTTTTTCTCTTTGTATACCATTTCAATGTTAAAGTTGCTGTCGATTTAAAAAATTTGATTTTGTAATGAATTTTGAATTTTTAAGGTCCTATCAGTTACCCCTTAACGACAGTTTTAGATTTGGCTTTGATAATTAGGTCTGCTAAAGATTAGGTCAAATAAGAATTAGGTTAAATAAATGTTAGGCAAAATGAGAATTAGGTCAGTTAAATATTAGGCTAAATAAAAATTTGATTTCCTGAAAATTAGGCAAAATTAAAATTATGTCAGCTCAATATTAGGCAATTAATTTCATTAAGAACAAATTAAAGTAAAGGGTAAATAAAAATTATGATAATAATTATGTCAAATGTAGATTAGATCAAATAAGAATTAGGTGAAATTATTAAATTTTTTGAAAATTAAAAACCTATAATTCTTCTAATTCGCAATAAGATTGCGAAGGAAGCTTTGCCTAAAGTTTGTGACAATCGTGGGACAAGATTGTACCGCAAACTTATTGTCAAACTTGCATGGTAATCTTGCCGCTGGTTTACGTTCTATCTGGATAGTTAAAAATTTGTAAAAATTTAGTCCGCTTTAAAAGCATATATTATTATTTTTTTTCTTTTTCTCCTTTCAAGTATCGAGAATGATGAATAGAGTGTAAATTAATGAAAAAAAAAACACATCTCTCGGTATAATTATGAGACCTATTCGCCAATATCGATTCAGTAATTGACGAAATGCACTGCGATTATCATCAGAGTTGAAGCATAATATTATATATCCACGGTGTTCAGGTCTTGTACTTATCGTCACGGACGATTTAGTTTCACTTTTAATTTCCACCCTGGAGTACATATAACTCGCTTTCTGCGCCATTGAACTTGACGGATGTTGATCAGTTTATATTTTATGCATATATATGTACAGTATTTACCAACAATTACCATTACATTTTCTTGATATTCATTTCCTTGTAATTTTCTTTCACTTCTCTCCTTGGGTTTATATTTACGAATAGCGCGTAGTTCAACGTATATATGTATATTTAATTGAAGGGAAAAAAAAAGTTTACCGCAACAACGAAGAAAAATTAATTGTCGACAAATAGCCGCTCACAAGTAACGATTAGGTCAGGAACAACTTAATTTTGCCAAAAGCAGAATATGGATTGTATAGTGTATTGCCTTCAATTAAAGCGATTGAATAAATTTAAACTGGTGCGTGAAACAGTAGCTTTGTGGAATAAATGACCGAGTGAATGTGTGTGTGTGTGTATATATATATTGCGAGAGTCTGGGAACGATTTACGATTCGGTGAGTACGTAACAAATGATTCGATGTCTTGTGGCGAGCGATGAACTTGTATATCCCCTGATGAATGACATTTCGAATGTTGACTTTAAGTGACAGTTAGTCAGAAAAATTATTCTCCTTTGATAGAGAACACCGAAACCAAAAATGAAAAGAAAATGAAAAGAGCACAAATAACAAGTAAACCAGTAATTGATAGATTCATTAAATAGAATGACATTGGTCATAGTAGTTGGAGAGCGAGTCAAGAGCCGATTAGAAACGGGTTATCGTTAGCTACGATCGGCAATTACACTCGTTTAGAAAAAAAAAAAAAATAAACAAACAGCAACTCATAAATTTCAAGGTCACTCGGAAGAAATCGCTTTTTAAGGGCATATAGTGGAAAATAATGAAGGGCTCCCTCTCTTGTTAACTTCAATATTCTTTCTTTTTTTTTGCATCACTTAATTGTAGAAAAAAAGTAGTCATTGTTGAAAAAATAGATTAATTATTTTTAGATTCGCGTTTTAGGCGTTACTCACAATTTTTTCGAAATTTTTTTTTTTTAATGGATTTTTACTGTAGCAAATATAGCAACCTTTACTACGGAAATAAATTCCTTAGTAACTGTAACTATGGAAATAGCTACTATAGCAACCGTTGCTATGGACTTGGTTACCATAGCAACCGTAACTATGGAAATAGCTACTATAGCAACCGTTGCTATAGACTTGGTTACCATAGCAACCGTAACTATGGAAATAGCTACTATAGCAACCGTAGCTATAGACTTGGTTACCATAGCAACCGTAACTATGGAAATAGCTACTATAGCAACCGTTGCTATGGACTTGGTTACCATAGCAACCGTAACTATAGAAATAGCTACTACAGCATCCGTTGCTATGGAAATTGTTTCTTTAGAAACCGTTGCTATGTAAATGGTTACCATATTTCTTTAATTCGACAATAGATTTAAATTTCGTGTTATTTGTTTTTGAAAGAATTTAGAAATTAAAGTACTATAAAAATTAAGAAGACACTTTCAAATTGATAAAAAGAGATAATTTTTCCAAGTTTTTTTTTTTAGTGAAGTGCTAATGAAAGTTTTAATCGTATCGCAATGTAAAAATTATGATATGAATATAACTGTAATTGTATAAATATATATATATGAAAGAAATGACATTTTCATTTTATGCGTGTAGTCATATATATATATGGAGAAAGCAAAGTTGTAAAATATACCTAATTCTAATTCAAGAATTCAATGTGCGGATCACATCATTAAGTTGTACACATACGTGAAGATATTTTCAAGTGTTTATTACACCGCACGTGTGTCTTCACAAATGACCCAATGTTTACGCATCTTATTCTCAGACATTAGCAGTGGAAAAATAATTGACAGAAGGCTAAGAATTAAAATTTTGCTTCCTGTGAGTAGAAGGAGTTTGAATTTAGATTCAAAAATAGGAGCAGAAACTAAAAAAAAAAAACTAAGAATTTAGAAGAAGTTTCATCTAAAATTTTTTTTCCAATGTATATTTTGTAGGGGATTTTAAAAATTTTTTTGCTGTTTAATTTCTTTTTCCTTATAGTGAGGAAAATACATTTATTAGCTATAAAGAAATTCACTCGTGACACCTTTGCGCGCCTAAGTAAATGGACCGGTTGCAGTTTATAAAGTAAACAATTTAATAACTCTTGAAATAGAGGGACGAATATATTTTTTTTTTCCTTTTCAACGAGAAATGTCAGTTTACAAAGATTTTGTCGCTTGACAAACTTCGCGGCGGCTGGTCTCGCGACAATGATGTTTGTCTACTTTTAAGTATATATATATGAAGGAACACGAGATCTCGCTTCTTGGTTGCGGCTACGATGAACGAACACGGAAATCTCATTGGAGAGCATAAAGTATCGCAAGCCGCAACTTTTGCCTCTCGAACGGTTGACAGCTCGTACGTGTTTCAAATGAGGATTTTCTCAAACGACTTGTGTTCATATATACTTCTTCTTTTTTTTTTTTTAAAAAAAAAAGAACGTTTTTCCCCTCGCTTCGTTTCTTCTCTCTTATAATACACCAAAACCGTTTCTTGTACTAAGAAGATATTTTTTTTCTTCTTCTTACTTCTTTCTTCCCTCCTCTTTACGTTTTTAAGTATACAATATATGTGACTTGAAGAGAGTTTTACGAGAAAGTTACTGTTACTCGTGTTTTGCATCCTAAACAAGAGTGGGACATTGCAGTTGTCTCCTTAACCCACTAAAATCTGTGATTTTTTTTCTTGTAACTGTTCTCAGAAAAGGACTATTTAAAAAAAAAATTTATTTTTTAAAATTTTAATTCAAATTTTCATTTATTCGAATTTACATTTTGCAGAAATCTTAAGAACGCCGTATTTTTATATTATAATACTTTCATTTGTCCGAATAATTATCTGTCAGTAAAATTTGGGCATTCATTTAAAAATTAACCAATCAGAAGTTATCAACGAAATTATGATTGGCTAACTATCGAATATCCGCCCAAATTTTTCTGTCAGATATTTATTCGGACACATGAAAGTTCTGTAAAATAAAAAAATAATAAATTTTAAAGTAAATAATAGAATAGAAAAGAATTCTTTCTAATATTCTTTTTGTAATATAGAAATTTGGTTAAATAGAATTCGTATGTTAAATAATAATTCGAAGAAATATAAAAATTTGGCTAAACGTGAATTATTGAAAAGAAAAATTGAAAATTAAAATAATGAAACACAAAAACGTGGCAGTTAGATGAAAAATTGATGGGTAAAAATTACACCCGTAATATTCAACCGGCAACATGAATCGAATTGGTAATTGGAATTGATTGCTCATCTCCAAATTATATGACGAGAGAGATAGATAGTTCCAAGAATATTTTCGTATTCAAAAAGAAAAAAAAAACACTTGAATCCTTTTAGGTTTTTAAAAGATCCTCTTTTTCACACGTTTTAATGGTAACATAAACACATACTGCGACGAAATTTATTGAATTATTTAACATATTCTTCTGATGGGTATTACAAAAGTATATACTTACATTTTATTTAATCGCGTGTTTTAAGATTAGAATGATTTTCTATTTTAAATAAAAATAGTTTCTTGTTTCAATTTCTTTTTTTTTCTCATGTAAGTTGTTGTTTTTGTTTTTTTTTTTTTTTTGTTCAAATATTCCCGTATGCGATCGAATTGCTTCTCCTCTCTCAATGTGTAAATGGCAACACACACCATTGCGAGAGGCGTTGAATAAATTTCAATAATCATCTTGTCTCGATTAAATCGTTTGTGAGACAAGTACTGAAACATCGTTAGCCTCAATTCCGCCCAAGTGCTTAAGGACATGAAACGAAACCTTATACAATAAGTAACATACACGTACAAAAAGGGAAAATTAGTTTTATTCTCCTCTTAAAATTTTTTGTTTCTTTATTTTGCTAAATAATTTCTCCTAATTTTCATTTAGTCAAATGTTTAGCTGTTTTTATTTATCCTATTTTTATAATAATTATTTACCCTAATTCATATGGGGTCTAATCTTTATATGACCTAATTCTTATTTGGCTTCACTTTTATTTAACATAAGTCTTTTTGGTCTATTTCTCATTTGGCTTAATATTTATTTAACTTAATTCTTTTAAGCCTAATTTTTATCTGCTTCAATTCTAATGTGGCACCTAATTACAATGCACCTAATTCTTTTTGACCTAATTTTTATCTGTCCTAATTCTAATCTGGCATAATTTTAATTTGGCTTAATATTTATTTAACCTAATTCTTTTTGGCCTAATTTTTATCTACTCTACTTCTAATGTGGTTTAAACTTTAATGGACCTAATTCTTTTTGGCTTAATTTTTATCTATCCTAATTCTAATCTGTTCTAATTATTATGTATCCTAATTGGTAATAACTACAATAAAGGGAGTTGTTAGAGAATTAGGAGAATTGTAATTAGAGGAATATGATTTAGAAGAATTAGAATTAAAATAATTGGAATTAGAGGAATTAGATTTTGAAGAATTAGAATTAAAATAATTAGAATTAGAGGAATTAGATTTAGAAGAATTAGAATTAGAGGAATTGGAATTAGAGGAATTAGAAAAAGTAATAAAGTAACTTACTATTTATCAGTAAAAAAATAAATGTTATTTTAAAGAGTAATAAAAATACTTACGGGTGATTCTAAGTGTGATGGCAAAATATTAGGCTGAATTTTAGGTGAATGATGAGGCCTCGTTAATTGTCTCCATGGCGATGCTGTCACTTGATTAGCTACATGTCTCTTGGGTGGTTTCCATTGACAACAACTCTCACTGCACGTTAAATCTTCACCAGTTTGTGAATAATCAAGTCTCTCGCTATTACTCGAAGTTCCAATTGTCGTATAATATAATGGTGGCACTCTATGTTCTAAGAACTTGTCTTGTTCATTTTTTTCGCCAATATGATAACTTGTATCCATCGTGACGTTATTAATACCAAGGCTATTTAAACGATGAATATCGTCTCTTGATTTGCAATTAGACGACTGTCTACACGATTCACTGAATATTCGCATTTTCAGTGCATCGACATTATCTGTCGTTGAAATTGGTTCACTGGGTCTTTTCGACAAGTAGGACACATTTAAAACATCAACAACAGGTACTTCTTCATGTCCTCCTCCTCTTCCTCCTTCCTCCTTGCCAATAAAACTTTCACAATACCTAGACTCTGGTGAGTAGAGAATTTGATTTTTTATTGAATCTGATCTCATGTCTTCTGGGACATTTCTTTGCTGATCATTTTCTGCACCCGTTGTTGTTGTTGTTGTTGTTGTTGATGCTGTTAAAATATTCTCATGACTCATCTGCCAATAGGGAGTTGATTCCGTTGGTATATGACTTTCAAAAAAATAATTGTTACGATATTTTATTGGTTCATCTGTTCGGCGATAAATTTTTGGATCGTGATGTGAAATTGTTTTTGTAAATTCATCGAAATAAATTGTTTTTTCCTTTTTACTGAAATTTTGATCGTAATCAGAAATTGTTTTTCGTGAACGATAATGATGATGATGATGATACCATTTTTCATTTGATGGATATTGTTCACATTCGAGATATTTTGTACTAATTTTCACATCTTTTATGTCTTCGGGTTTACAGTCATTTTTCATAAATATCGGTAGTGGAGGAAGACGAATGTGCAAAGCTTCAGCGGCTCGTAAAAAAGCGTTCAGTCTTAGTCGTGGTACAGTCGCATTTCCAGTGTACACAAAACCTAATATTGCTGCTAGTTCCGGTCCCTCTACTTCCGCAAGGATCACTGTAATTGGCTCACAATATTCCATACCCTTGCTGTGCGCCAATAGAACCTCCTGAAACATTAAATAATTTCATATTAATAATTATAGTCTCCAATTACAAATCGATTAATTTACACCTGACCTATTTAACCTAATTCTTATTTGGTTTAATTAATCATAATTTGATCTAATTCTTACGTGGCCTATTTTTTTGTACTAATTTTCACTTACCCTAATTTATATTTTACCTAATTCTTATTTGCCCTAATCTTTATTTAATCTAATCCGTCATTTGGCCTAATACTAATTTGGCCTAATATTTGTGACCTAATTCTTATACAGCCTAATTTTTACTAATTCTCATTTGGCCTAATTATCACTTGACATAATTCTAATATGGCTTAATATTTATTTGACATAATTCTTATTTGACCTAATTCTCGTATGGCCAAATGTTTATTTAACCTAATGTTTATTAAGGCATTCAAGAATTAGGACATATAGTAAGTTTAGGCGAAATAAATATCACGTTATTAAAGATTAGGCCACATAATAATTAGGCCAAATTAGAATTGCATATAACGATCATTGTGAATTGGAACAGATAAATATTAGGCCAAATATGAATTATGTCAAATAGAATTTAGGCCACATGAGAATTAGGTCAAGTGACGATTAGGCTAAATAAAAATTAGGTTACAAAAAGATAAGGCCAAAAGAAAATTAGCGAAAAAAAAATATTAGGCCAAATGAGGATTAGATTAAATAAAAATTAGAGTAGATAAGAATTAGAGAAAAATTTTGCTAATTGAGAATTAATTTAATAGAGAATTAGGCCAAATGGGAAGTAGGTTATGAAATATTGAAGCATGTCACTAGGGCTGATAAAAATTAGGCCAAATTAAAAGTTGGTTAAATGAAGATTAAGAGAATTATGAATTGGGATAGGTGAATATTAGGCCAAATAGGAATCACATCAAATGAAGATTAGATTAAATGGTTAATAGATTAATTAAAATTTAGGAGAAATAAATATTTTGATTAAATTAAGGCAATGTGAGAATTTTCATTAGGCCATTTTGAAATTTTGAAGAAAATGCATGCATCTACTTTAATTTTATTTGTTAAATAGTTTTTTTTATCAGACAATTAATAAAAATGTCGGAAGTTGGTGTTTAAAGTGAAAGATGCCTTTAGTCGAGACATTTTACATAATTAATCCATCTATCGCGTTTTAATTACGACATTTGTAATTAATGAACTGTGATTTTTTTCTCGTCGACGCAATATTTAGTAGCGTTGAAGATGTGTAATAAACACTATCTGTCGTGTTTTCTAAAATCACCGTTAGACTACTTCTAAATAAGTCCCCTGAAATTAGTAGCAATATATGCGTCAAAAGTGACTCATCCTAAAAGAAAGAGAGAGAGAGAACGAGAAACAAGTTAACGGTGATTCTTTTTTTTTTGCTAATGTTTTTCACCTAATAAATATCAAAATGTGCATAAATATTGTCTTATCTTGGAATGTATATAGATATATAGAATTCTAGTCACCGAATCAAAGGTGTTCGAAACAGACTGTAAATTTTCATATTATCCTCAATTTAATGTCAATTTTTGTCGAGACGAAAGGCTCGGCAGCTTTTTTTTGTGCGTAAATTTAAATTTATAAAATATCTACGAAATTGCCTCTTATGGGTCATTAGGGTGAGAATTTTTATGTCTCTATATTATAAATGATACAAGTAAATAATTAAAAAAAAAAAATAAATTATGCAAATTTTTACAACAAATTATTACGAGAATTAATTGCGCGAGTAACTTAACAAGTAATTATACAAATAATCAGTCAGATAATTATGTAAATAACACTTTTTTTTTTCTTCAAAAATTCAAGATAGAAGATTGAGGAAAAAATTCTTTTTCGATAAAATTAATTAATGAAGAAAAAGAAATGGATAAATAACTAGCAGAGAAATAAATAAAAATGATAAACTGGTTTTAAATAAATAAACAAACAAACGATTTTTCTAAATAAAAGTAAAAAAATAATATAATAATAATAATAAAAATAAAATAATAGAAGTAGAAATAATAGACAATTTATACATATATGTAAATAAAAAACATAAAATTAAAAATGCTTGGAAAATTTCCAATAAAAAAAAAAATTAACTCAGGATAATTAAAATGTTTATACTTTTACCGGACGAATTTTATACAATTCATTGCATAACGTAAATATCTCGTTTAAAGAGGAATTTTTTGAAAGTATTGGCAGAAATTTAAGGTGTTAACAATGTAAAACTTTCTTTTTTATTATATAATGAAAAATTTTTATATATATTTATTGGTAAAAACAAAATAATTGCCTTTTTCAAAAATAAAAAGAAAAAAAGAAATGAAATATATATGTAACATGTCATGCACATATTTATCAGGACATTTCATATATACACATATATTTACAAATTTCTAGTTTCAAATTTTTATGTTTCATAAATTGGATTCACAATATAAATGTTAATGTTCTTTTTCCCCAAAACACTATAATTATAGTATTGACGTTTTTTGTCCCTTGTTGTTTATATAATAAGAAATTACGTTCAAGAAGCGAAAACATACCTGACAATAACAAATTACGTATATATATATTGTCACGTCACCGTAACTTTTACATTCATCCTTTTAATCAATACCGAGTTATATGTCTCTGCGACAAGCACACGTGTGCTTTTCTCTTTCCGCCCCTTTTTTTTCGTGTAACTAAACATCTTTCTTTTATATATAAAAGACCCCTGCGTTTAGTATCCTTCTACGACAATCTACTGTATTTCTATTTCTGTATACATACAAATAGAAGCGAGAAATCTTTTATGATACCAGAAGAGCTCACACCCCCACAAAACAAAATGATCCCTTTCTAATTTTCCCTGTGCTAAAATCAAACGATGTAATAAATGCGCTCTTTCCAATTATCCTATGTGACGAACCCCTGTGGTATCACCACATTAGAAGAGTACAGCTGCAAATAATCATAGTCATACTTTCGTATCCTGAAGAAGCTGGTTCACACCCCCCTTTTTACGTTCAACTGAGAGAGAAGGACTGAACTTTGACTTCCAAAATTAGGGTGAAAATATATAGTAGGACAATAAAATTTTATCTATTCTCTTACGAAAACTCAGTATAAAAGGGCTACATTTTCATGGAGAGATCAGTTCTGGGATCCTCTTCATACGTATAACATCAACTAGTTCTGGGATCCTCTTCATACGTATAACATCAACTAGTTCTGGGATCCTCTTTATACGTATAACATCAACCAGTTCTGGGATCCTCTTCATACGTATAACATCAACTAGTTCTCAAATTATCTTCATACGTATCAATCTCATTCTTGGTGCCAGTCGACGTCTTATAGTACAAGTGCATAATTCTCTTATATCAAAGTTAAAATCAAGCATCAATACCCTCTACATAAAACGAGGATCATCACTACTTATTGCATTGGGCAATTATCTATTTATTTGGAAGAGACTCATTATTCGGACATTCGTCACGCCTAATAGAACTCCGGACCTGCGGTTATACCTGGGCCCGTCAACCTTCCGGACGTCATAACTCACGCTGGTACCAGCTCTTTTTCCTGTGTCAACAAAGGACACAGCAGTGGTCCTTTTCTTTATTGAAACTTATCTACTACTGAATTTTAAGGTAAGTGTCTTATATTTTTACTCCTAACTTTCTAAACTTGTCGTATATTTGTGGTAACCCTTACATTCCTTATTTCAGTTGAATGCTGAACTCATTTCCTGGATTGGTTGGTTTGAGATTCCCTCTCTCTCGCATAAGAACGAACTATTTTAACCCTAAAAATTTGTCTAAATAAAATTGTAACTTAATTATAAAAATTTCTATTCTCTTTCTTACCTGTACCCTTAGTTCAGAGCCTTCTGCTCTGTAAATGAAACAGGATTACCCTGAATCACCGAAGCGGAAATAAATAAAAATAAAATATAATTTCTGAAGTTATTTCTTATATTTGAGACGTAACAGAGGAAATATTATTTTTGGTGCATCGGCCGTTGTGAACAGGAAAGAGAATATAAATTTAAAATCTATGCACTAAAAATATAATTTTTGGTGTATTGTCCGTTGTGAACAAAAAAGAGAATTTAAACTAATAATATAAAAATCGATGCATTAACAGTATAATTTTTGGTGCATCATTTGTTGTGATAAAAAACAGAGAAATTAAAAAAAAAAATCATTTTTCCTTAAATAATTTCAAATATATAAATGAGAGAGAAAAATATCCTTGAACCAACAAATCTAGAAATTCCTTTATTAATTTTTTTTTTTATTTACACTCATAAACACAAATCAAAATTCTAAATGAAAGTGATACAAAAGTGAAATAAAAAGCTTAGTTATGTCGTTACCTAATAATCAACAAGTATCTCTTCGCGACGCGTTAGAATTAGTGCCTGTGTTCGATGGAAAAAATATTCCAGTAGTTTCATTTATAGAAGGTTGCCATGAAGCAAAATTAATGTTGCCAGATTCATCCCAAGTGGAGGAAAATTTAGTAAAATTAATTCGTGGAAAGTTAATAGGAGAAGTTAGAAAATCAATATCGGGAAATATTTTTAAAACAATTTTGGAGTTAGAAGCTCATTTAAAGAAGATATATTTACCAAATAAAAGTATCTATCAATTGCAAGGAGAGTTAGGAAATATTTTTATGAAGGAAAATGAAAGTGTCATATCGTATGCGAATCGAGTAAAAGAATTATCGGATCAGATTTTTGACTCATACAGATTATCGAGTAAAGACGGTAAATTATCCAAAACGATGTTAGAAACTTTAGAAGTAGATATAATGACCTGTTTTCGTCGAGGACTACGTCCAGAATTAGAAATTCGAATTCCAGATTGCATAACTTTAAAAGAAACAACAAACAAAGCATTAGAGGCAGAACGAAAATTAAATGCGGTTGTAGAGCTTAGAAAAGAAAATTCTTGTAGGCCAAATAATGCAAAAATTACATTTGCTAGTGCAGATAT